TCGGACGGCCCACCCATTTGAACTAATAAAGTGCCAGGGGCCTAAGTGGTCACCTCAATATTAAAAAAAAAAAAAAATAAAAAATTCAGTTTGCTCAAGCAATAACCAAATATGTTTTACCTTGCTTATCCAATTTTGTCACTCACCTTATTCCTAATAAACAAATTAAGTGAGTGTTCGATCATTTTCTGATAACTCTGAACCAGATATTTGCATACTATTTACATAGTATCTATTAACCCGTGACAATATATTTCATCAAGTTTTCAGTATGTCTGTATCTTTTACAATAAAATTGATAAGAATATTAATCTATAATATAAATATAACTTTGATAAAATCATCTCACCTATAATTTAAAGCCAATAAAACATTCTTAGTTAAGTATTTTATTATTCAATAATTATTGTTGTATTATTCATCGTTTTTAATAGTATCTAGAATTCTTTATTTGGTAATTGTTGTTGATAGTCGAATTAAAATCAATTACATGCTTATATTAGCTGTTGGAATAGATCGTCCTGAAATAAAAGTTGCAAAAGTTACTACACCATATTCTGTACCAATTCCCATACTTAGAGCAATAGATCATTCTTTCGCGGTTATTTCTCATGCTATAATCTAATTATGTATACAAATCAACATATTAGGTTAACTGCCGGAGTAATAAAATTATTCTACTTATGCAGTCATTATCATTTCATGTCTTAATTAAGTTGTGGATACAAATTCGTTAATTCTACACCAGGTCAGTCGCTAGAATAATAGATCACCCCAAGCATTATTCTATTTATACAGCCGTAATTTCACATCTAATTTAGTTGTTTATACAAATCTGCCAATTTCATACTTGGAGCAATGGATCGTCTTTTCACAGCTATTTATGCTATATTCTAATTATATATACAAATCAACATATTAGGTTAACCACTAGAATAATCAAATTATTCTATTTATACAGTTGCTATCGTATCATACCTTAATTAAGTTGTGGATACAAATTCATTAATTCCATACCTGGGTCAATTACTGGAGTAATGAATCATTCCACATTCTAATTAAGTCGTGCATACAAATCCATTAATTTCATACTAAGATCGGTACAGAAATTCATCTACCGGTTATGCTCTAATAAGTTGTGTATACAAATCAGTTAATTCCAAAGTTAGGTCGATTGTTGGTGTAATACGATTTGCAGCTGTTATCGCATGATTATTTTGGATTATTTTAGTTTAAATGGAATATAGAAAAAGAAATTATTCAGATTTCAGTGAAAGGTTTTGTATGCAAATTAATAATCACGATATGAAATGAAAAAAATTGTATAAAAGGTAATCGAACTTACCTTGATAAATTTGAATTTTCACAATAAAAAATAAAATAAAAAACAATTCGTATTAACAATGTCAAAAAAACAACAGTTTTCTTCAAAAATTTTGTATGTAAGTACCATAAGTCCACAACTACATTATGGAATTTGGACTAAAGCCTGGTGGGAAAAAATAAGTATAGAAGTAGGATCTGAAATAAAAGATTTTGTAGTACCTTATCGCTTATACATGCGCATTTCATGTGAACTCAATAATAAAGACTTCATTATAACGGTTTTACCTAATGATAAGAATTCATTAAAGCCGGATTTTCAATGTACTTGTGAAATGATTACAACAGAAATTGAATCGTATCCAACAATAGCAATTAATGCATGCTATCAAGAAATTTTTGAAACAAAAACAGCATACTCCGGTTCTGCAGTAATAGGATTCAATAATATAAGTATTATCCAACAATTAATCGCCGCCATATTATTTTTTCCCATATTCATCTGTATAAACAAACTTTCCATAGTAATATCTAATATAGGCAACTTAGAAGAAAATAGATTTCATGGGGTCGGTTCCAGATTTGTTTCTTTTTTTACTACACAATATTGTAATAAACAGTATCTTTTTGTATTAACTATTGAAGAAAGTGAATATATTTTGGAAATTTATTTAGAATTAACATGTATTAAAACAATTAAAGGAGAAACTCCAGATAATGTCTGAAAAAATGTAGACATTCTTCAAAAATTTGCTGAATCATACCTTTTTAGAATTACAGATGCATTAGTTCATGAGCATCTAAATAATTTGAAAAATGAATCATCAACATGTACTGTTAGTGATTAGAAGAATATACAATTACTAGAATTAATATTTTCTCGTTATATAAAATCTCGAAAGATTCCCAATATGATGATTAATTGGTCACGCATTTTTTTTAATTGGTATTAGCAAAATAGCTCTATTATTCAGTTCCTGCATATATTACAAACCATTTACCCATCTGAATATCAATTTCAAGATAAAGAACTACGAGTATAGCGGGCAATGTTTCTTGCCTGTGGGTGTACTAATGTGATGCCTTTTTCAAAAAAGAATCTTCAATAGAATTTTGGAGCAAAGCATTAGACTCTGCTATTGATAGAGAATTATTTAAAAACCTTTACAAAAGTAACGTTATACAATTAGATAAAAATATTTCAACACCTGCACCAGTTCCGCAACCAAATAATTCACAAAATATAAGATTTTGGGATAGCTTTAAGGATGCGATTGTTTCAAACAAGAGAAGGTCAGATGGTAAAATTCATATCCTTTCAATAATTGCCCTAAAGTTTAAATACCATATCCTCATAAAAGAATTAAGCATAAGTAATTGTAGTGTAGTAAAATCTTTTTCATTTAAAAATCAAATAATTTTAGATTTTAGCCTTAGCTAAAATTTTTAAAATTTACAAAAATCTTACGTGTACTGAGTTTTCTAAGATAAATCTGATTTGACGGTCCTTTGTAGCTATTAATTATAACATAATTTTTTTTTTTGCTATTAGGTTGGGTCGGAAACTATAAATAAAGCCAGGGAGCATGCACGGCTTTATGGCCCGGGCGCACCACTCTTGCAAAAACCCAAAAGAACCGTCCAACGATTATCTAATGTTAAAGAAAATCAGTTCTTGTCATTTTTTCAAGACAGAGAAAATGTTACAATAAGCTCTTACCATGTAGATTCAGTAACAGGATTGCCAGTTCTATATTTACGTGACCAAAAGAGTAATTTATGAGATAAGTTTAGTGAAACTTATCCAAATGGCATGAAAAGAACTACTTTCATGGCGCAACTAGATAATTGTACCAACCTTAAGTACCGTGAAGACCTTGGTGGGCTATGTATGATCTGCAATGATTATGGGTTTAAAACTTTTAATAATTTTGAAAACTTTATACAGAATTATTTTAGACATAAAAATGATATAGTCAGTTTATATACTAATATTATGTTCAAAATATTAATTATTATTATATTATTTCTAATACGTAATTACTTTATTGCATGGTCTTATTAGTCTACACTTCTAGAACGTCTCGAAAAACTAAAGCGACACATGAAATGGAGTTATGAAAAAGAATTGAATGTTAAAGCAAATGGTAAAATCGAGCATGATCCGTGCATTTCTCACTGCTTATCTTATGCTTTTGATAAATGCATTAATAGCCATGAAACAAGGTGCCCTGATTGTGATAAATTATTCAATTTCCTGGACTTTATTTGTGAATCAGCACCTTCGAATAATCAAGAGCAAATAGAAGAGTACAAAGATCAAATAATAGAGTACAAAGAGCAGTTATTATATTATCTTTCTTATCAAATGCAAAAAGTGTATCTGAATGCCCAATATAAAGCGGCACTAGCCGAGCTTAATTTCAATAGTGCACTTTTTATTGCAGATTATAAAATGCGTGTATTACCTCAATCGTCACATGAAACAAAAGGAGAATTCTATAGGAAACGTGGCTGGACATTACATACTATTTTAGTTTTTACTAAAAAAGATAAAACTGAAATAGATATTCAAGCATTTAACCACTGGTCATTGGATACCAAGCAAGATGTTTGGTTTACAGCATCATTATTTGATGTTGTTTTTGAGAAATTGGATAGAAAGCCCAAATAGATAAAAGTAATATCTGATAATGGGCCTCATTACTATAACTCCGAATTAATGGCTATAGTTGGCACTGGCATGAATGGTATGATATTGAAGTTCGAAGCTAGTTGTTTCTAGAGCCAGGTGAGGCAAAAACAACTGTTGATTCACACTATGCTGCAGTTAGTATTCCTTTTCTTCTTTTTTAATCAGAGGTGTTAACAAATTCATATTCAATTAGAAAGATAATTGTGAAGGTTCTTCATGATTATCATGCTTATTATTCTATCTTCTCTTGCTCACTAAAAAAAAAAAACCTACTATCATAAATAATAAATTATATACACAAATTAATAGAAATACTATAAAATTTTTGATAACATTTGTCTGACACCTCTGCTTTCAATTATATAATCTAATATATCTATCTTTTAAAGATAACACATGCCATAAAACGATATTTAAGAATCAGATACAATATAGAAACAGGCGACGATATTCATAAGGCAGTGAAAGATTTATCAGGTGTCCTCGTAGCAAATATAGAACCAAATCATGATGATTATATTGCTGTGAAAGAAAATATTAGTGAAAATATAAAATCAAAACCAAAAATCAAAATCAAGACAATTAAAGGAATTTAAAAACTATTTTTTTGGGAATGGCCTATAAAAGGTAGTTATAGTGGGTATATTCATGCACATCCATTGCCTCATATTGAAGAGTGTGATAATTTTTCCCCCGCATATTTAAATCAACTCTGGAATATTCAACCTCATCGGCCGCAACCAACCCAATTGGTGCATACCATACTGGAATCTACATAGACAATTCCAATAAATCCAGAATTTAGTAAGTGTTATATTATTGTTTAATCACATTCTCAAATTTAAACTAAATTAGTGTACATAACTTACTTTAGTTAAGGAAAAAGAAGAAGAAGAAGGTATGAACATATCCATACAATATTAATTTTTATATGCTAAAAAGCTCTAATTATTTAAAATATAAAAGATCATATTAGCTTGAATCAAAATAAAGAAAGAAAAAATAAAATAGATAATAGTAAGTAACAATAACTTTATATATATCCATGCTATATCTTTCTGCCTTTCATTTAAATATCCAAATCAATTCTTAGTTCCTATGGTCATAGTTGCGATTCCAAGGTATGTAGATATAAGAAATCTAATGAATATTTATTTTATTTGCTAATTGACTCTTCAGTATGATAGATAAAGAATTTCCATTACCTAAGAGATGGGCACTAAAAGGCAGCCAAAAATTAGGCAAAAAAGGAGGAAATAGATAAAAAAAGATATAAAAGCCATGTTAGAACATTTCTTTTTACACGGAAACAGAGAAAATGAGAACAAAATGAGTGCACAAGCTATGTACGACGAGCTATTAAAGTACGTTGAACTTGGTGAAATAGAAAAGGAAGATGTTCCAAAAATTACCACAATTCAAAATTGGATAAGTTCGTACGCTCGTGCTTTTAAACAAAAAGCTGAGATTTGAGTTAGCATGAATAATTATGCATGTAATATTCTAAATTATAAAATATTTAGTTATTAGAATAAATATTTTCTCACCTGAAAAATAAAATTGTCAATAGTTATTATAGACAATATATTTTTATCAAATGTACAAAA